ATAGACTACAATAGAAATACGCCTAAAAATATCACTGACTATAACTATAATTGAAAAAATATGCAGAATATAAACACAGATAAGTAAATTCCAATTACAGATTCAAACCACCAAACTATTTTCATATATAGACACCCAATGATTGAACATAATGAAACAGAAAATTGCACATATGCACAATCTAATCGGGATCTAGCACATTTATGTATTGCTGACCCTTCATTCGCATCTCCCCTGCATATTAAATTGTGTAAAAACCCTAATTTTTAAGTTTTCAGAAAAAAAATTCAAAACAAAACTCACTCGATCTGTTGCGTGACGTAGACATTCGTAGACGTTTGTGGAGACGAGGAGTTGAATTTTGTTGCTGTATAGTACTTTCATAATTATTGCCGCCGATTCGCAGTAGAGAAGAAGAGGAAGTCGACCTTAATTTGGGGGAAAAGGAGGGGGTGGTGGTTTATGGCACGGTTATTATGGGTTTCAGAATAATAGAATCACAGAGATTCTTAAGGCCGAAATTGGTGGAATTTAATTTCAACTTACCAATACCAAATACACGGCGTATATCACCGTAAGGGTACTATAGGAATAATTTCACTAAAGAATGTATTTATAATGTTTTAATATCCTTTGGTGTAGCATCTAATATGTTTTCCCACTAGGGATGCATATCTTAAAGCCCCTTTTTTTTAATACTATAAACATTAAATAATAAAAATATGTAATATTTTCAAATTTAAAGGGATTGTTTTACAAATTTTGGACTAATTTAAGAAATATTTAGACATAAAATTGGTGTAAATATTGAAGGAGTGGTATTACATATTAAAGTTGCAAGTAACAAAATATGTAATTCATTAGCAGATTTTGTATTTTTAAAATATAAAAAAAAATGCCCACCATAGTTGTAAATTTAGAAAATAATGAATAAGATATATATATATATATATATATATATATATATCTTATTAATAAAAGTAAGGTTGCTCTGGTGAAACCCTAGGGTTTTTTTTCCCGCTCATTTTCGGGGTACAACTGTCATTTATTTAATAAATTATTTTATGGGGTTTATTTGGCTTATTAAATTCAATTATACTGGATTTTTGGTTGGGCCTTGATTATCAGCGTATTTTCCTCTCACTTCTTAAGATTACGCATCCACTTCATTCCCTAATTGATCGGATTTAATTCGATCCCAAATAATACGGCCCTAGATTAACGAATTCTCCAAAATAGGGCTGAAAATCATATCTTTTTGAAAAAAAAGTCTCTAAAAACGTATATGTTATGTGTTGTTCTGATAATTTATGCTTTTCCCTTTGCTGATATTCTTAACAGAGTTAAAAACGTCTACCTATTTTATTTAATTTGTTTTTTTTTTGTTTTTGTTTAATCTCCATCTGCATAGTTTAATCTCCATCTGCATAATCCGAGTTTTGTTCTTTTGCAGGGACTGCGGTGAATCCTTGGCCGTATTTTTTCAGGTTTTACTAGGGTACTTTTACGTATTATATATGGTAAGTTTTTATTTTATTAATTCTCAGTTTTTTTCACTCATGGATTGCTTTTTGAAAAATAGTCGACATTTAAATTTTCGATGTTTTTTCCTTACAAGTTTCACAAACATGAAGCAACGTTATAGCATTATTGTTTTTTTGGGAAAAAATCGATAATTTTATTAAGAATTACTATCGAGTCTCGCTGCATTTTCTCTCTCTGAAATATGTTCACATCTTTAAATTGTTCATTTTAAAATTTACATTTCTTTCTTCACAACAATGGCGCTGACATTTTTTAAGGAGGTGGAAATGGGGTAGTAGATAATTCATTAATGTTGGGTTTGATCTACTTCTTCCATTAGTGAGTTTTCGATGGATCTGTTGGAAAATGAATTCTCTTTTCGTTGTTTCTTTGATTTTTTCTGTTATATATATCCAAGAAATTTCGTATTATTTTCATTATGTGTGACCTGAATAATTAATGTAAGTTTTCCACTACTGAAACAAAATCTTTTCATATATTATGGGCATGAGCAGCACATTATACATTAACTTTCTCTAATGAATTTTTAGTGTGTGAGAAATGAATATTGTCTAACAAACGTAGATCAGTGTAGTATCTAATGTCGATGGAGGAATAGAAAGAGTGGCATATAGTTTATCAATGTTGAAATAATCGATCGGTCACAAGAAACTTGAAGTCGCTGAATGTGATTTATCAGGTTTTTTGGTCAATTTCTGTTTTGTGGATATAAATAAATATGCATCAATGCATGCCTCAACAAACTGTTCTTTATTGAAATGTTGGACATATATGTTAACTTATTAAGTATATTACACGTCTCAAGAAACAAAGGTTGTGGTACAAGATGAATGTAGTGGTTTCTATTGGTTTTATTTGTAGTGGAGAATGTATCAATGAAAGATAATAGAATAAAAGCCTCTGTTATTTACATTACTATGTGATTCTTTGTTTTATTTCATTTTATATTTTATTTTCTATTTGTTTTATGTTCGAGTGATTTTTACGTTTTAATTTGAAAGTAGAAAACAACATTGAAAATTGAATTTTTATTCTGCATTAATTTTTTCAAACCCCGTGCATCGCACGGGTCAGATTACTAGTATATATAACATTAAGAATTTTTGAATAATTTAGATTATATAAAATATTTAAAAATACCCACATATTCAAAAAATTGAAAACAATTGAAATATTGTATGTAATGAAAATTAAATCTTGTTCCTTTTAAAAACTTTCTACCAATTAACTACAAGCCAATTTATTTACAGAAGATTTGGAATTTAAAAAGGAGTATATACATAAAAAATAGAAAAAAAAAACAACATATTAGGGGTCTCTGACTCTGGTAAGGCTGTATTAATTTTTACTAAATTTCAATTTAACCCCTCATTAGTTATAAATATAAAAAAAAACCCCAAAATATTATATATAATTTTTTTTTTTTTTTTTTTTTTTTTTTAATCCAAGGGTGTGCAACTGCACACCCTAGGACTATGGTAGATACGCCACTGACAATACACACTCTCGAATATGTAAAAGCGTGAAAATCATGGCACCCAGTTCAGAGACCCATGTGGAGACTCTTTCTTTACCTTTTTTTTACTACTTTTATTTATTTTACTTTGGTATTTATCTATTATAAATTTACAGACTTTCCTCCCCAAGATTTGAATTTTGTACATTTTTTAGTTCATAATTTTTTTTCCTTATCTTAATTCACACTCATATTTTAGCCCTCACCAAAAAAGCCCTTATGTCCGCCTCTGATAGCCCATATGTAGGAGAATGACGTCGAAGGATAGGAGGATAACGTAACATCGAAATAATATATATTCAAACCGGTTCATCCGAATCATCTGCTGAATAGTCCGAGGAAGCCCCACTATAAAGTGAATGTACGAACCACACCACAAGGTGGTCCATCTAAATATTACTAGGTTATTTAGGCCTTAAAAAAGTGGTATAGAATACACATTATATGTTAAATTTTTGAATAAATTTAACAACTTTTTAGGCCTATCTATTGTCTTTTTTGTATCTCTTAGACTCGATTATAGCAAATATTTTTTTTATTTATTCCTTTGATCAATTAAGCAAGGACTTCTTGCATTGTTTGTCATTGCATATGTTTATACTCCTGAACCCTATCGGCTAGATACAATCTAAGGCAAAAATCAATTCAGAGTCTTTTTTCATTGCAAACATTAAAATGGGAATTTTTTTTAAAAAGTAAATACTAATTGGAAAAAATACTTTTGTCCAAAAAATCTTAAGAAAAAATACTTTTGTCCAAAAAGTTAACAAAATTTGCATCCAAAAGGTTAGTTTATTTTCATAACAAAGATAGCAAATATTCATCCAAAGGTATTTTGGTTAAATTCTTATTAGGAAAAAAAAGGTACTTTGGTTAAATTTATATTTTAAGGTATTAGTTTTGTGTCTTTTTCCCAGAACGAGTTTGCCGGCAAAGGAATGCGATTACGGATCATACTCACCGTCATAAGAAGGAATTTTTTTCGACAAGTTATTTGCCACATCCGGCAAGAGTTGTTCTTCGATGTGATGGACTAGGAATTTCAAATTTTAGACCTTTTTACATTTCAAAAAAAAATTAAAAACAATTAGACCTTATTTTTAATTAGTGGTCCTCTTTTGTGAAATTTTAGTTTATTTTCCATTCAATAAAAGCATCATTTTAATCTCAACAAAAATAAACATTTTATTTGAATTTATTTCTGAAATAATGGTTGAGAGATGAAATTGAAGTCGTTGATAAGACAAGGACTAATTTAAAGTTGAAATATGTTTTGAGGGATTAAATGAATTTAACCCTATAAACTAAAAATTAGTCAACTCAAGACTAAGGCTCTCTTTAACCTGGTGTTGGGGAGTTGAATGTTATATTTGGTTATTTACGTTAACATTTAGTTATTTACGTTGGATGAATTTCAAATGTAGATTTGATTAAATAATAATTCAATAAGCACACATGCACATTAAGTAATATTTATTGGGTAAATTACGGTCATACCTCTAAGATAAAGTTAAATTACAAAAAATTCTCTTATGTTTGGGTAATTACAAACCCCCCTCAACTATGAGTCTTCTTATATGTTCGCCTTTACAATGTCAAATTTTAGATTATGTGGAACACTCTCCAGTTTGTACCAGTTTTACCCAATTCGAGCTACACATTTTAAACAAAATATCATAAAATGTGTCGTTCAACTTGTAAATATCAGATTATGGTGCATCAGAAGCTGCATTTTTACACAAAACAAGTACAAATTAGAGAATATCTTCGCGAAATCTAGAAGATTCTATTGAATTTGACACTATAAGGATGAAAGTGTAAGAAGATTCATAATTAATTCAGGTAATTATAAATACCCAAACAAAATGTATTTTTTCATAATTTGACCTTATCTCAGAGGTAGCCGTAATTTACCCGAAAAAAACTAATGGGAGAAAAATTTGAGAAGAAAGAAAAGTGTTTGTTTATTTATATTTTAATGAACACATTATACACTGTAACGATCAAATCACGTTTCAAAGGACAAAATATAAACCAATCTCAAAGACTAAAATAAACCAAGAAACAATCTAACATCATCTAAAACTAAAATCATCAAACATAACTAATCAGCCCACATCCTCAGCAGAGGCTGCGGTAGTAACATCACCAATATGCCCTCCCGACGCATTTCCCACCTCGCCGCCGCCGCCGGATTCCGCCAGCTCCTCCACCAGCGGCCTCCGGCAGGTCGGGCACGACGAGTGCGAACCAAGCCAAACATCCACACACCCGACGTGAAAACAATGGTGGCACTTAGGCAACACCCTCACTTTCTCCCCGTCCGAAAACTCGCCGAGGCAAATGGGGCAGTCCGTCGACGAAAACGAAACCCCACCCCCCGATCCGTACGCCGCCACCGGTATCCGACGCAGCATTCCCTTCTCGAGGCCCCCGCCGCCGCAGAAACGCGGGGGCGCTTCCTCCCCGGCGTCGACCCTTCGGGCGCACCGGAGCATGAATCTCGCGATCGAGTTTATCCCGAGCACGCAGACCAAAGCGCACAGGAGGGCTCCGAGAATTATCACCATGTTGGCGTCGAGATTCTCCCTTCCGCCGTGGCTTCCGCCGCCGTCACTCGGCGGCGCGCCGCCGAGCTGTGCGTCCAGCAGCAGCCGGTGGGGCCGGTGGTAGAAATTCATCACAGCTGGATAATTTCAGTTTTATATAACAGAATCTAAATCCCTAACAGAAATAAGGTTTTCAATCCAAAAAAAAGAAAATCAAAAATTCAAAAATTCAAGCCCTAATTCCTAATTTCATGTACAGAAACTGGATATCGAACCACAAAAGAAATTGAAAGCAGAAAATTCATCCTACAAATTAAGAAAAAAATCAGAAAAAAAAAAGAATTTTGATCCCCCCAAACAGGGTATAAAGTAAGTAGAAAATTTTACCCAGAAAAATTAAAAAAAATGGAAAATAATTAAACCTCACCGATACTGATTTCTGTAACTGAATCGCAAGTTTTCGTTTAATTTGCCCTAATTTTGATTCTTCATAATTAGAAGTTAGAGAGAGAGAGAACTGATATATAGGAATATAAGCTGTAAGCTGTAGGTGTGGCGAAAGGACACTGTTTGGACATAAAGAAAGATGCCATAATTTGTGAAAGTGGAATTTTCATGTTAGGTCCCTACACTTTATTTCTTTTCATAACGAGGTCCCATTACTTTCAAGCTCTTAACTATTGAGTGACACTAGACGTGGTTACGGTTACGGGTTGATTCGGACCCTGCCCAGATGGGACCGGACCGGACCGGGCACGACTTGTGGTCAATGGATTGGTTAACCGGGTCCATTACTCGGAATTGAAACTGCACTACAAAGGCCGGTTAAGGATTCTATTTGTAGACCCGTTGTAGCATTAATTAACCAACGATTCAATTGGGCGAATAGCTGCCGGGTTTTCGCTAGTTTTTATTTTATTTAAAATCAATGGTGTAGATGATTTGATCTTTGATTTAGCAACTATCGGGGAAAAAAATATGAGTCGGGTCGGTCCATGTATCCGTCGGGACCATTTTGAAATGGATCTATTCTCAGACTCGAATTTCCGCCCCATATATTTTCGGCCGACAATGGTGTTCCTCAGAGTTATAAATTTCTCTTTGGTGGTCGGAATTTGATGGTTTGATTATCGTTGGATTACCCTTGTCAAGTTATTTTTTTTTATGGTGATTTTATATGGTTTGGAGCTCTGAGTATGTTTCTGAAAGGACGACGGGTCTTCTCGGAGGCGTAATTTGTTGTCCAACAGTTGGAATTTGACGTGCTACACATCGTTGGATTACTCTCGTCAATATCCATCTTTTGATGGTAATTTCGTTCAATTTTGATTGTTAGATTCGTCTCTATGATTTTTGCATTGCGTCCGTGGAACCTAGGGTAGTTGGTGACGGCTAGAATTTTGGTAAAAAACGCTTGGGGTGAGGAATCCTTGGTGGTTTGGACTAAAATTTCATAGCATTCGCATCTATAGCCTCTGTCTCTATCTCTCTCTTAAATTTCGATGAATTTGAGTGTTTTGAAGTTTTGGTCAATTTTTGTTAACTTCCACTAATAATTAATTGTAATAACAGAACATTGTATTCATATTACTAGTTTGTTCTCCGTAGATGACATAACTAAATAATTTTTTGGGGTTAGTTTTTCGAGACTATTAGTGAGAACCCCCTCTAACATTATTTTAATAAGGATGGGTCCAGCTCATTTTCCTTTATTAGTGAGAAACCCATTCTTTTTGTATTCTCAAATTTACCCTCCCACTATTCACTACTCATTATCCATTAGTTTGATATATTTTTTTTTTATTTTTTATATTTTAATTTTAATTTTAATTTTCGTTTTTTTATTTATTTCTTCTTTAAAAAATATTTTTTTTTTAAAAAAAAACTTTTTTTTATATTTATTTTAATATTTTTCTTTAAATATTACTTTTCTATATTATTTTAGTTTTCAGTTAAAAACAACTATATGCCAATAAAACGACTATTATTAAAACGACTATTATAAAACGACTATTATTAAAACAATTGGTATTAAAACAATGATACATCAGTTTCACAATTTATTAAATTAATTATATATTATATTATTTCCATTATAAGATTAACTAATTATTTAATTAAACATCTCCAAAACAACTATTTGTTAAATGAACTATTTATTCAAACAAACTAAAAAGTAATGAAAACAATAATATTGTTGTGCAAAAACAACTATATTACTATACGAAAACAACTATATTGACTCAACTACAAATTATTGAAATCCACAAAAGCAAAAGCAAAAGCAAAAAAACACACCAAAATTCCAACAAAAACGACACGCTATTACGCGTAAGTAAATGAATTAGGGGGTTTTTACGTATTTCTTCTCCAGGTCCACCTCCAACAACAATCCAAAGAATGGGAGCAATTGTTGACAAAAGTTCACCACCTACAAATTTAAAATACCGACAAATATCACAAATCAATTACAAAAAGTAATAAAAAAAAAATACAATGGTAACAAGTATTCAACTATAAAAGTAACATAAACAACTACAAAATTAACAAAACAACTATAAAAAAGCCGAAAATACAACTACAAAAATTAACAAAACA